TAGAATCCAAAGTCTTAGCAATAAGCACATCAAAAAAATTTAAATCAGTCAAATTGAAAGATAGATTTATATAAAAGTTTTCTAAAATTTAATAATATTTGTAGACATTAGTTTCAGTGTATTGCAAAATTAAAAAAAAAAAAATTTGCATTTGAATTCTTAATCACCAAATTTAAATTCCACGCACCTCATGTTCACAACAGCAGGAGCTTGAAATAATCATAATTAATAGCTAATCTTATATGAATTTTCTCAAAATAATTATGCTTATGTTGTGCAAATATGCTAAGCCGGGAAACTACAGGTAGATAACCAAGATTTACAGTCTTTTCTATGATGATTTGTGATGACAATCATTATAATAACTGAAAAACATATAATAAGGATAATAATAAATAAAATAAATGAAGTATTATTAAATAGATAATAATTTTAACGGGTTTGTCAATTCCAAACAATCGTCTCAACGACTAATTAAAAGACAAACGTCTCACTGGATCGAGAGAGAAGAATCAAGTGAGAGTGTAAGACAGAGACGAAGAGTGAGAAGAAAAAGGAGCCGAGTGCTTCACATACTGAATTTTGATGACGCGCGTTGAAGAAGTCTATCGACGCCGAGGAAAGTTGGAACCTAGCGAGAAGTGTGCCACTTGCGCGAAGGAGTATGATGCCACAGTTTGCAAGAGATTATTGACTTTCGTGAAGAAGCTCCCGAGCCCTAGCATTGAAAAAAGTGAAGCATCTAGTGGCTCATTCAGTGGTTGAGGTTCAAGCCCCAACAAGCCTTGTTTTGTTGTGTGTGAGCGACGCTGTAAGCTATGAACAGGAGAGAAAGAAAACAGCCTATGAAGCACTATGCGTGCTTGTGAGAACAAGGCGTCATGCAGGAAGGCGAGAACCGAGCCTAACACGCACTCTTATATGAATTGCGAGCACAAGAGGAGAGGGTTGGCATGCTGAGGGCTTGGAGGCGTCCCATGTGAGGAGGATAGAAGTAACTTTCGTGCGGGAGGAGAGGAGTTCGAGTAGAATAAGAGGAAGAAGAGAAGAAACAGCTCGTGCGAGAAGAACTAAACCGAGCCGAGCAACCCTAGCTTGCAGGCTTTGCTCTCTTATAGAAGTTTAAGTTGCTCACAGCCAGTGAACTGAGAACTAAGATAATAATAGCGTAACTTTAATTTCATATTATTTAATTTAAATTAATTTTATAATTACTAATATTAGCTTATATTGAATTATAACAGAAATCTTAAATCGAAGAACTCTTGCCTCACAATATTTGGAAATCAAAATTGTTGACATTAATAGGAGAAGAAAGAAAAAATATGGAACAAATTTTGGTGTTTTTATTTAAGTTAATTTGAAATGATTATAAATTAATACTAATATCTTAAGAACTAAAATCAGTGATTAAGATTGTATGAGCAATCGAATTATATGTGACAAAAGAATCCTGTTGAGTTAGAATGAGTAATTATGCTTTTAAGTTACACTAATGTTTCTTGTTTTTAAATATATTTTTGCTTACAGCTTTTTTCACTATTCGTGTTTACATCTTAGTCTTCATATCGTTAGTCATGGAATATGCATGTTAAAACAATTGCGTAAATAGTTGCATTATAGTTGTTTTAGGAAGATATTAAATTATCGCAAGATATTTAGATACTAGTGAGGTGCACATATCAAATTATTAATTGACCTTTAGATTCTAGTAAATGTGCATCTAATAATTAATTGATAAACATAAGTTATCCAATAAGATAATAGTGTGTATTACGAAGAATGGAATTTAAATGTTATATATATGAATGTTTGTATATGCATTTACTAAGAAGAGTTAGCTCTTTTATGGTACAAACAAAGGACACAATGTATCCGCACACCTAGATGTTTTCCCACCACAAAAAAAAATGATATTTAGATCACCATTCATTGTGTCGACGGGAAAATATTAGTCAGGGGCGAGTAAAGACCTTTCCACCTCAGAACATCGTGTAGTTTAAATCACAAACCATCATGCTGACGGAATATTATCAATCATGGGTGTTTTATGTTATATTTTGACAGTGCTCCAAAGATGGATGTGAAAGTAAAAAGTAAGAAGTATAATAAAATTAAAAGATTAAACTTTGAAAAATAAAGTTAAAGTTAATACATATCGAAGTTTAAGTTATTTCCATTGAGTAAATGTCATGGACACATACATTAAATTATTACGTCTTTCTATAATAAAATATGAAAGACCAACATGCATATTGTTTTCTCTTCATTGGATTACTGTAATTTAGAAGTTTGATTGCTTCATTGGGTTATCTTTGATAACTCATTATTTTGTTTTAATAATTTTTCGAGATTTAAACTCTTGAACAAGATGAATACTATAGGAGCTAATGTGTATAGAATGTGATTGTCATTAAATTGTTTTTTTTAATGGTTCTTTAATTTAATATTTGGATATTAAATTGTTAGTGATAGAAATAGAATAAGCGAAAATGTTATGTCATCTTCTGACAGTCTGTTCCCAACTTAGTTAATTCCAAGCTCTGGGTCGGGTCGTGATAAATGGAATCATATCAATGGACCCACTGATTGACAAGTTCTATGCAAACTCAAATAGTGATAATATCAAATTCCACCCACATACAAGATCTTTTATTAGAGTAGATCCTCTCAACATCTATTAACAACAAAAGTTTCGTCAGCATTTTGCAAGTGATCAATTGAAAAATTAACTCATGTTCCCTTTTTTTTTTTAAATAAAGTTCAAAAAATATTCATGCATTTAACAACACAATAAGAAATAATATTTCAGGTAACCCACAGAATTTACCATTGCATTAAAATATAATTTTATATAAATGACAGAATATGAAATGTGTCATTAAAAAAATTATCGACTGCAATAAAAATTAAATCATGTTTCATCGAAGTTTGTGGCATTTTATACTGAACCAAACCGAAGGCAAGAAAAATCTGAACATTATAGAACACAACTTATTTTTCAACATCATCACTAGCATATCATCAAAGAAAGAAAGCAATTAAAATAAACTAACCAATGAAAGCAAAATCAATGAGAATAAACTTTTATTAACATCATTGTTGGATGTGATACTCCAAAGCAAAATAAAATGAAGTTCTCCATCATAAAAACTCATAAATTCATCTTTCTCACACGTTATCAGTCTATATAATATACTTATTATATATATATATATATATATATATATATAGATATATCATTCATCAAAGCAATACGGCTGGAAATCCGTACCAGCATAAACAATAGATCTAAAACTGCAATTGTTGATCCTTCTTCACTCTATCTTTGGAAGTATGGTATGTGCACGAGTTATGCTAGTATCAAGAATGGGATAAGCCAACACTAACCATGAGTCTTAATGAAGTGCTAATGAGCTGAATTGTAAGATAAAAAATTAACTAGGGACAACCACTATTAAAAATAACAACTTGGCTAAACAATTTACAGCCAAAATTCATCAAAGACTAAAAGTCAAATAGGGTTTTGCATACCCTATGATCAGTTGCCTTTAGCTTGGGCAGTAAACGGTCCAACATTTCCATCTTACCACAAAGTCTCACGACAGGTGGAAGATAATGTTTGGGTAATAAGGCATCAATCTGCAAAAGTGAACATAAATTAGTCCTAAGAAAGAAAGAAGTTTCAAAGTAAAATATGATAAAAAAAAACAGTTCAAATAAGTTCTAATGCATGCCTCCTCAGCATTAATTTGACTGAGATAAGGATGATTGCATATATTACGCATTTCCATCACAGTGTTGTGCACAGAGCGACCCTGAATTATTATCAGCATGTCAAAACAATCTCATAATTGCATCAAATATAAAATACAAAAAAAACATTGAAACAATACTTTTGCATTCCCTATCGAACCAAGGTTCTCTTCCACCCTCTTCATTAGAAGCTTTTGATAAGCAGAAGCCTCGCATCTTATAAGCCTCTCAATTTTTTCTGGCAACTCATTCTCAACCTATCAAATTAAATTCATGTAAAAACAAAGGATCAGGTAGAACTCTTGAAATACTCTAAAGTTCAAAAACTTAAACAGAATCCACAATTCAATTTTTTTAATAAAAAAAGCTATCCTCCGAAATTTCTTGTTACTTTTGTCGATTTGAATATACAAATAATAATAATAATAATAATAATAATAAAAGAACACAATAATGTAGGAGGGTTGCTAAAATCAGCTGCTCCCATAAACAAAACTCAATTATGACTGAGATTTATACAAACGAAATAAACACTTGCATTCATAAATAGATTTACACCTACATATAAATACATTTACACCTACACATACATGAATTTAGGCTATACATGCATCTATGCATCAATATGTATGAAAACATGTGCTTGTAGGTTCTTATTTAAAGAATAAACAAAAAAAAAAATTTATCATAACAAAAATATATTGAAACAAAAAAAAATTCTCAAACTGAGATCACACTAAAATAAATAAGTCAAACATAGATCAAATTGAGGTCAAATCAATTTAGGTCGAATCAAGCCAATATACAGTCATCATTTGCTAAGCTCAGCTTATGCTCAGATCAAATGGCTTTGAGAAGTTCATAAATCAGGATTTGGATTGAGATGGGAATTTCCGCAACCCGACTTTACACGGGCCTTTGTCAAGAGGGGGAGAAACCGAACATATCCAGCCCTCCTTGCTACCATGCAAACTAATTAGCCTGCCACTTTCTACCACAATGACACTGAAACCGCCAGCCCCATTTTACACCAAATTGTTGTTTAGTTGAAGGCTGGAGAAAGGTAGGTCAATCTTGCAACGACTTTAAGGTGCTTCATTAACATAGTTTTTTAAAAAGGAAAATAGAAAAAGGACCTCATAATTATAAGGGCATTTACATATGCTTTTCTGCATAGGTAAAGGCAATGCGTGTAAATATGAAAGTTTAGGTTAGAGATACGTAAACCCATAAGAATTGGGTACTAGGTATGTACATGTCCCTTAATTATAATGTACTGCTAAAAGCTAGGAAATTAGTACCCAATGGTAACTATCCAAATCCATAGAAAAAGAATACTTTGAAAACTACTAAACAGACCAAATTAAAACATTAAAATCACAAAGCATATATAGTTGGTACGCATAAAATAAAGCAGCAGCAGTTAGACGTCAAAAGGATTGACAAAGTATTGAGTAAAAACTCAAAATAGTCCCCCGACTATTATTAAGAAGTGTCCAATTTAATCCTAGAGTTTTATAATCTCCAATTTAGTCCCAGACTATTAAAATATCTCCAAATTGAACCAAAATCATATTTTCTGTTAAATCTAGCAGTGGTTTGCATAAATTGAAATGTATTTTCAACTTTTCTGTAATTATGCCAAATTTATGTGGTCTGCATATAAAGCTCTCTTTATTTGTTGTTGAAAAGTTATAATTTTTAATTTGCATTAATAAATCTCTTCACAAGTCATCACTTTGTTAAATATGAAAAATTTTAAAATAATCAAGAATTATGCAATAAGAGCTCACTAAATCTGAATTTACATGAATTAGTCGATTTCAATTAAATTTTTTATTTTAATATTATTTATTCGAGAATGTGTTTCAAAATAGTTAAAATTAACTTGAAAATATACTGAATGAATTTATTTTACATTTAAAATATTATGCACGTGAATGAAAAAATTATGTGCATGGAACTACCCTTGGTGGGTTTAATTCGTTAAGTTTACATATAGACCAAATTACCCGTCAAAACTTGAATGGAGTTGCTAAATTTAACGAAAAAAATGATTTAGGATCAATTTGGAGCACCTTTTAATAGTTTGGGACTAAATTAAAGTCTTTTAAAACTCAGGAACTAAATAGAACACTTTTTAATAATCAGAAGATTATTTTGGGCATTTACTCATAAAGTATAATTTAGAAAAGAAAAACGGATGTGAATCATTCAGAAATACATAATCATGTAAAAATGAACATATATGAACCAAATCATAAATTTAGCAAGAAATAACAAAAGGAAGACCCATGCAGGTCCATGTGATGACCTTTAAAACAGATATTGGCAAAAATAATAAATTGACAAGCATACCTTATGCTTTAGCCTTCGAAGTACAAAAGGTCGGAGAACTTGATGAAGACGGTTTATGATCAAAAGATTCTCTTCTTCCGTCAGTAATGCCTATACGATCATCAATCATAAATGATGTAAGATTATGCTATGATGGACTCTGAAATTAAATGAAAAATAATAGTGCTAATAATATAGCAAGGAAAACGAAGCTCTCACTTCATCAAGTGTGGTATCTACGCTGCTCTCAAATGGTTTATTGAACCACTGAGAAAAATCCACAGATGAATTGAAAATATTTGGCAACAAGAAATTTAGAAGGGCCCATAATTCATCCAGATTGTTCTGCATAAACGAGTGACCAAAAAATAAGTTGGAAAATAATTGAGATTAAAGTACAATGTGTAATCACAGACAAAGACGACTGAAATAATATTAGTTATAATAAGTAAGTGCAAGCCAGTTGCACATAAAAACATATAAGGGATAAAGAAGACCATATGCAGCACTACTTAGTTAGAAACTTGGGCAAAATTGATACTATTGCACTTGTGCAAATGGCATACAAAAATGATGCAAAACATACTTGAAGAGGCGTTCCGGTTAAAAGCAGTCGATGGGTGCTGGAATAATGCTTCAAATCAGCATTGAGTTTGCAAGATGCATTCTTTATTCTATGACCTTCATCAATAATAATATAATGCCATTGAACTTTACTTAGCTTCGGTTTATCATGCTTGTTCATTAGATATTCATATGTAGTGAGGAGAACATTGAACTTCCGGTGAACAATCCTTTCCCTGCAAAAAAGACAGATTATCAATAGCCTTCTAAAAACATAAAAGCAAAATGATATTTGTGGGTTGGATAACAATTACTTAAATAGTTTGCGTCTCTCCTCAGGAGAACCAGCATAAGCAATAGCATTTATACTAGGTGCCCAAAGACAAATTTCAGATGCCCATCCAGGAAGAACTGAAGATGGTACAACCACCAAAAATGGACCTCTGTCATTTTTCTTCTCCATAAGGTAGCATATTAAAGAAATAACCTGCAGAAAATAAAGGTCATTGGCTCCATCAAACAGCACCATGACTTGAAAAACATAAATAACAGTTTCAGCTTAAAAAAACTGAAGAAAGACGAAATAATATTGCAGAAAACCATACTTGAACAGTTTTTCCAAGGCCCATCTCATCAGCAAGAATACCATTTAAATGATTATTGTACAATGACACTAGCCATCGTAAACCATTCATCTGGTACCTAGGATCAAGTAATAATTATACAGCTCATCAGATTTCTGCCAACTGCATAAACTGCATTCAATATATTGAAATAAAGAATGCAAAAAAGATAGCAATTAACCCAAATATAGAAGTTTGTTTACTGAGAGAAGCATGACTTACTCACGCAACTTTCCGCCTACAAGAGAAGTTGGCTGCTCATTTATGCTCTCTTTAATGCTGGTAACACAAAGCAAATCAAATTTACATAGAGAAAGTCATTACAGAACAAATGCAAACAGTCAATAACTCACAAACAATTATTTGCAATTCCATGGCCAAAAAAAGTTGGTCACATAACATGGAGGAATAAAAAAACAAATACCTGTGGGCCAACATATAATACTTCTCATTGCTCTCCAGGTAATGCTGAAATAGGGATGACACAAAAATACAAAATTGGAATTGACTAGCTGGGAATAATACAAAAAGAAAAAAAAAATTAAAAAGTAAACAGCCATTCAATATTCACCTGTGCTTGATCACTTTCATCCTCATTATCAATTGCTGCTATTTCCTTCTCATCTGCATCAGTTGCCTGGCAATCCTCCGCTTCCATATCAAATTTTCTAGACATACCCTTGGCCTCCTTTAACTTTGAGCCCAATTTCTGAAGATATTTTTCAGTCTCTTTAAGCAGCTGCCTAACTCGATCAGACTTAGCATCCTGCATAGCCACTGAATAATCAATACACGGAAGACTAATGAAAAAAAAAAAAAAAGATAGAATGCAGAAATAAGGAGCCCATTTGTACCTGAACCATTCTTAGATATCCCTCAACATCATTGTTTTTCAAAAGATTAATCTTTTCACGCTGGATTCTGTCAATCTTTTCACGATGTATACGCTCCTTTCTCTTGTGGAACTCCTTTACATATTTATTAAAACCTTTCCACCTCTCCCGCTTGACCTTGAAATAATCCTCTAGTTTTTCCCTGTCAATCAATTACTTACGGGTGAAATTGCACTTTATTCAGAAGATACAATTTTTTTTTAAAAAAAAGCAAAAACTGTAGTTTGAAATTACAATAAATCTTAACATGGTAAAATGAATCGCCAAAAAAAATTAATTTCAAAGCTAAAGTATTACTTAGAAAATACAGCACTGAGTACAAATCTCTACCTGTGAGCCTCAATTTCAGTAAAGAATTCTTTTTGTCTCTCTCGAATGCGCTTCAGCCTCTCTTCCTTCATCTTTTGTTCAAATTTCTCAAGTTGCTTTGCACGTCTACCATGTCTATGTTTTTTTATTGATTTCAAACGTTCCATGTCAGATGCAACAGGTTTGAAAAAATCATCAAGGAATTCACTGTTAACAAAAAACAATGAATAAAGAACATAGTTCTGAAAAATGTAAAGCCTATGTGCAATTAAAAATTTAATCCTATGAGATTCAAAAAAGCTAGGCAAAGGTAAAGTTTAGCACAGACAACAATGAAGAAACATATTATTCAATTTTGTAAAAAATTAACACCTCCGTAACCGCTGCTGAAGTTTAAGAAGTTGAAGTTTTTTTAACTCAATAACACTCTTAGTCTTGGCAGAAATATCTTCAGATGAATTTATTTCCTGAAGAGAAAAAAACAAATTAGGAAATTTGCAGGGGAACAAAAGCAAGAAATTTGTGTCATGATTTATCAAGTATACAATGAAACAATTTCACATTTCTTGAAGGTAAGAAAAAGCATAAGGTATCTGACATAATTGAAATAAAAAAAATCATAAGTAGATTAAATTAACAATTAAGCAAAATAAAATCGACCTCTGCAAATGAACATCAACATATAAGAGAAAATGTCAATTTCTGGTTTATAATAAAATATTGTTTCAAAATAATGGAAGCTGGTTTAAAGAATCAATTTATCCATCACCATTTAGCATTTATGCAAAAAATTATAAACACCACAAAGATGATATTAGAACCTCATGTTTATGACTAGTGTATGACTTTGAAACGAGTATATAAAATTTTCATCTATTTATTTCATTGATATAGCACAGACATATGGAATTTCAATTAAATCATAAACTTGGTGAAAAGACTGGATTATAGTCAAAATCTAACCATTCGTGTCACTAAAACAAGAGGACATCCTATCCTAATCCAACAAATAAAAAATTTCATGAATTCATTGTTCTTGAAAACAGGCTAACAATCTAAAAGGAGCCAATATAACTTCAGCAAGGCATTTTGACTTCTGAAAAAAAAAATAATTTTCAGGTGGCTTGATATCTTGAGAGTATACTTTTAACTTGGAAAAGCAAGCTGTGATCCTTTCTTCAGCCTTCTTCTGTTTCAAGGCCCACTTCTGCTCTTCAGCAATTTTTTTTTTCTGATACTCCATCATCCACTTGTCAAAGGTCGTGTATTTTGGGGGAGAAGTGGGCATATCATTGGATAATAATTCATATCCCTCCTCTTCTTCATCATACTCCACAGAAGTTGTATTGCTGTACTTCAGCATATCATCGTTTGTTAGATTCTTGGGCCCTTCAGAAGTAGACTGACCATGAACATCAATCTTTTGAGCTACAGAAACCCTCTGATTTTCCATTCCATCACTGCCTTCAGCAGCATCATCATGGTGAGTAGATATTTTAAAATCAGTAGTAGTATGAATCCTATTGTTCAAAACACCATGGTTAAAGAGCATGTTGACATCTTTTGAAGGATAAATTGCATGCTTCATGTTATCACTGTTTTCTGTAGTATTTGACATTGTCAATTCCCTTACCGGTAAAGAAATGTGCCGATCTGAAAAATTTTCTACTTCTTCAGGAGCTGAATCTCGATGACCCATGAATAGCGTTGATTCTTTAAAGAATTCAACATTAGTTTTGGTCCTCAGAATATCAGGTTTCTCAAAACAGGAAGGCTTGTCTACACAAACAGATGGTACCCGATTTGTATGCATTATTTGTTGGTTAGAAAGGTCAGCAGTACCCCTTAGAAGATGGCTATCATGAATACTCTTTCCAGAATCTCCAAAGGAATCAGGCTGCAGTATATTTGATGCTATATATGATTCTGCTAATTCCGGTGCCCGTGTTTGATTTTTATTTTCCTCAGCTACCATGTACATGTCCGAATTTTTCTTGTTCTTCTTCACACTCTCCACACCCTTCAATGATAAATTTATGTCCATAATACTTCCACCAGATGAAGCTATTGAACCCTTGGCAGTATCATTTGCTCTAACAAGCATCCCAGCTCTTTCATGATTATCAACAGATTCCCTTGCGTGTGGATCAGTTCCTCTGAAATCATTCAACACTCTTGGGGCTCCATCAGCACCACCCCCTATTTTAAAGAGAGGGATAAAAACGAATAAGCAAAAAAATAAATAAATAAATAAATAAAAATAATAATAATAAAACCGATAAAGACCACAATATTGAACATTTACCTTCTTGTGGGTTGCTCGCACCAAGAGCGATTTCAAGATGCAACTTTCTAGGAACCAAATTATTTCTACATGTAAGATAAAATGAGTTAAAAGCATAAAATTTTTAGGCATGGATAAGACAACTAGTGTAAGCAAAATCATACCTGAATGCTAGAAACACTAGGCACTGTGCTCTGAGCTGCCTTAGTTGTTGATCATTAAAAGGTGTGTTCGAAGAAGATGTATTTCTTGATGCAATTGTCTGCATGTTACCACAAGGCTCAGCATACAAATTGGACCCAGTCTTTAGCTTAGAAAAAGCACCACGATTTCTTTCCGAAGAAACATTATCTAGGCCGTGGCTCTCTTCAACTCCACAGACCTGAAGTAAACGTTATCAATTAATAACAAAAGGAGGGATTATAGAACCATTAATAATAGAGGTCAAAATAGATAATACAGAAAAACATGACTTCCATCTCACATGACTGTCAAAATAGGTTCCATGTTCACCCTTTTAGCACATTTCCATCAAGAAAAAAAAAGGAACTGCTTGAGAGTTTCAAGTGAAAGAGAATATACCATTGGATTAGTGTAAGAACTTGCTCCTAATTCTAGTCCGCCTCTCTTTTCCTGAAAAATAGCTTTTCCAGATGTAGCAATTCCCATCAGATGTGTTCAATGACAAGCTAGTTGGAGCTTCTGAAAATTTTTTAGGAATTTGAGGTAATCCATCAGAAACAGGCTTGGCTGAACCAGGAGACCCAGCACTGACATTAGTAGAATTTGCATCTCCCCCCTTGTCCAATAATTGAGAACCAGGGTATGAACCCAAATAGTTTTCATTTTGCAATTTGGATGTTGTGTATTGATTCTCAAAAGAAGAACTACTCTGATGAGCTGGAAAGGGAAAGCCCATCTTTGCCATTGCAAAAGTGCTGAAGGCGCTTGCAGTCCCAAAGACTTTCCCATTGCTATAAGCAATGTTTGAAGGTAAACCCATAAGTTTTGAACTATCATTTGGCCCTGGTGAAAGGCCCTTTAGCCCATTAGCATGGTATGGAGAAACTATGTTCAAATCAGAAGATGGCTCCATAATGCCAGGACTGGAGACTTGAGAAACTTGTGATGAAGTAAACCGGTTCTGACTCCACATGGGCGGTGCAGATCCTAAAATGTTACTTCTAGGCGGCATTTTACCCTTCTGAATTCCAGTACTCTGACTAGAAGACACCTCCCCTTCATCATGATTTCTTGGTGAAACCAAAAAAGGATGCGATGTTTTTACTTCATCCATAATCCTTTCAGATAAAGTATGGACACCATCTTGTTTAGCCCTGATGAGGGATGCAGCACCTGCACCATGTTGAATAGGATTCACTTGTGCATGGTCATCATATTTTCCAGAAAGTTGGCCTTGTAACCCCTCTTTATTAACTTGCTTACCTTTCCTAGAGTCAGATCCAGTACTAATGTTATCAGATTGTTGAGGATTTTCAGAAGGTGCATCAGATGCTGCCTTGGAATCAGCTCTTTTTCGCTTATTACCTGCTTTTTTAGTATTGTCCTTGTTGGTTTGGTTGTCAGATTTTATTGAATTATGTATTTCCTGTGAATTTGTAGATCTTGTGTCATCCATTGGAACACTAGCAGGACTTTCTAGCTCAGATGACTTGCCACTCCTATGAGAAAAAGAGCCCTGATGAGCATCAACTGGCATATTGTCCACTCTACCAAAACCAACTTGTGGTTTATTTGGAAACAACTCGTGCCGAGCCATATCTACCTCAGAAGGGCCTGCTTTGGTTGCTCGCAGCATCCCAAAATTCTGGAAAGGAGCAGCATAAGCTTCTTTTGCCAGACTACTTGATGCTCCATGCCATGTTCCAGAAGGAATACCTCCATGAGGCAAATCATTTTGACTAGCAGGCAGTTGATTATCAGGTGTGTCTTTGCCCATTGTTGCTCCTTGTCCAGTATCAACTTCCTGTGGCCCACAGCTCAATGGAAGACGAGATGACCTTAGAACATTCAAATCAAGTCCATGCTGATTTATTACTTTTTCCATTGCCCTGCAATCAAAAAACTATCTTAATTAAAAAGCACTTAACGAATACAGTACATAAGTTTTGTAAATATTTTAAGGTTGCAAAAATTACATTAGCACGCCAAGCCTACAACTAGAATTACAAGAACAGGCTTGCACTTCTTTTTTTTACTTTGTTTATAAGCTGGAGCTTAATTTTCACAATTTGGTTCAATCTCCACAAATAATCTTAACAGCATTATACAAAAAAATAAAGCAAACAAAAAATATAGATTCCCCCGTATAAGCAGAAAAATTAATCTAAGAGTAATTAGGCAAGCATTGATTATTTGCCAAACATACATGTAAGATCACCTAATTAGTTGGATGTAAAGCATAAAATTAATTAAACAATACAAACTTAGAAAAACCAATGTTCCAATAGAGATATCAAGAGATTTAATTTAGACTTATTTCAATCTTTTTAAAGTATTAGAGCTTTAGATTTGTTTCTTTATTTGCTAGATAATTATCCTATTTTTTGAAAATTTCAGTGAAATTTTTATAATTATTACATTGAGATTTCATTTAGATGGGATTAGATTTGAATTTGAATAATTGATCTATCTTCTTTTCGTATCTTCATAATCCTATTTCTATAAATAAGATTCAAGGCAGTAATTGATCATTGCATAGTGAATAGAATCAAGAATACCTCTTCTACTCTCCTTTCCCAATGAGCTAGAGCTTTTTCTTTCCTAACCTCTCTCGGGTCTCTTTCACCAAATAACCCATGCTCCTACTAGTATCTCTAGCATACATCTATTCGTATCAAAGTGAAATGAATCTCTCTTAAAAATATCGGCATTCTAGTGATGCTGGCCCCAGCCCTTGCAAAACCAGCAAATATCCTCACTCGCATAGGCCGCCCTAGCCTCATGAAGTGACCTTGATTCGTGCTGACTTCATTCACACTATCCCATTGCACTGCAAGTGATCTAATGTGGCTGACACTCTGCACTCCTGTTCACTAGAACTCTCACTTGGCGTTCACCACTTGCGCTCAAAGATTGCTTCCAGTATATGTTTGTCTAAAACTAGCAATTGAAATACTCTATCATACTTATCCTAACACAGAACCAGGCATTCTCAACAATCACAAAAATATGCTCAAACCGTTTGCTTCCCCACAAGTGATTTGAGTTCATTTCTCAGTATGCATCCAAGCCCTCCAAACAAAAACAACAACAACAACAAAACCTTTATCGCACTAACTGGGGTCGGCTATATGAATCATTTTCTCCATTGTGTCCTATTTAGAACCATATTTTCATTTAATTCTAATAAATTAAGATTATTTTTTATACAATATGCCCAAGTCATACTAGGTCTACCTCTGTCTTTCTTAACATAAGTCAAATCTAAAACATCTACTCTTCTAATCGGATCATCAAATGGTCGATGTTTAATGTGACCAAACCATCTAAGACGACTCTCTCTAATTTTGTCTGTCACTGGAGCTACACCAACCCTATCACGGATATATTCATTTCGCATTTTGTCTCTAAGTGTAAAGCCACTCACCCACCTAATCATTCTCATCTCAGCAACACTTAACTTAGTTTTATGCTTCTCTTTTAAAGGCCAACATTCAGCGCCATAAAGCATTGTAGGTCTCACCACCATCTTATAAAATTTTCCTTTCAGTCAAAAGAGTACTTTTCTATCACACAATAGGCCCAAAGTATTCCTCCACTTCAACCAACCAACTTGAACTTAACTAATAACATCCCCAACAATATCACCGCCACTTTGAACAATACACTCAAGATATCTAAAGCGTTCATACCTTTTAATAATTTGATCACCCATAGTTATATTTTTGTCACTAGAGCTATTATTTATTACTAAAATTACATTGTATTCAGTTTTAGTTCTACTTTACATTCCATGTATTCAGTTTTAGTTCTACTCAAACGAAGGCCTTTAGACCCATAATTAGACTTCCATAATTTAAGTTTTTCCTGAGCTTTTTCTCTCTTCTTATCCACGAGAAGGATATCATAAGCAAAAAACATACATCAAGGTGCATCCTCCTGCAAGTGGCCAACAAAACCATCCATAACTAAAGAAAAAAGATATGGGCTTAAAGTTGATCCCTGATGTAAACTAACAGAAATAAGAAAATATTAGGTCAATCCTCCTTCTGTTCGAACACAAGTAACAGTTCTTGTAAACATATCTTTAATGACTTAAATATAAGTCATATCAACACCTTTATTTTCAAGAACTTTCCAAAGCTTATCTATTGAAACCTTATCATTTTTCTAAATCAATAAAAGTCATATGTAGATCCTCCTTATTATCTCTAAATGTCTCCATCAAACCTCTCAATAAATGTATAGCTTCCATAGTAGACCTACCTAGAATAAATCCAAATTGATTATGAGAAATCTTTGTAATATGCTTAGAAATCTTTGTAATATGTCTTAACCTATGTTCAATTACCCTCTCCCACACTTTTAAAGTATGACACATCAACTTAATAACTCTAAATGGAGACCAAAATACTCCGCTAGTCAAGCATCTTTTGAGTTTTTAAAATAATATTAAAGAGTTTAGTAAGCCAAGAAACTCCCGAAAATCTCAAATCTCCTAAATGTTTCCACACTTCAATTGGGATATCAAGTCCTAAAAACTTTCCACCCTAAGTTTTCTTTAAACTCTCCTCAACTTCTTTTTTACAACTACGACGGTAAAAATAAAACATTTTATTATTATTAACCATATTAAGATCATTAAGATTGATCGTATTTTCCAAAACTTCATTCAAAAATTTATTAAAACAACTCATCCACCTATTTTGAATATCTTTTTCCCTAAGAAAAGTACTTTTTGATTTTCATCTTTAATACACTTTACTTGAGTTACCTCTTTACTTTTCTTTTCTTTTTGTTTGACTTTTGTTTGACTAGTTTTTTTGTTTGACTAGTTTATACATATATTTTTCACCATCTTTAGTATCTAATATATCATAAAGATCAGTAAAAACATAATTTTTAGCAACACAAATTGTTCTATTAGACTATGTTTGGGTTAGCTGCAGCCGCGCTATCCAAGAAAACAGCTGTGAGGGAGCTGACTGTCTGTTTGTTGCAGCTATATGAAAATAACACAAGGACTAAATGAGCATTTTTTCAAAAACAGCTGCCCCACAAATAATTTTCTGAAGCAATAAATTAACATTAATTAAAAATTAATTAGTTTAATTAATTTATAAAACTTATATGTCTATCAAATAATTTAAACATTTAAAATATGTTTGTAAAATAGTGTGTAGGGTAAAGATTGAAATCAAAGTTTGTGCAAAGAGCAAACTGAGCAAAGAAAACCAAAATTGTCGATATTAGAATAACACACAAAGAGCAACAAGAAGAATTATCATAAAAAATAGAACAACCAAATCGGCCAAGGTTCTTTCTTATCAATCTTTCTATAATCATGCAGAAGTTACTTTGCAAGAATGAAAAAAAAAACAAAAAACATCTAATAAAAAATTGGATTTTGGGATTGATAGGGAAACCCTCCAAGCTTCACCTTCTCCTCCTCTACCGGGAAGACCGAAACATTCTTAGAAACCACAACCTTAACTGAAAAAGCCTTCTTCGATGAAAAAGACTGAAAGCCACATCATTAGCCTGAAGAGCCATGGAAGCTTCCTTGTCGAGGGAGATAGTGGAGGGAATGGACATGCGACTTCTGGAGGGGGGAGAGGCATGACTTCCTTGTCTACCACAAAGTTTCGAGGGCACCGACCAGAGATTCCTTCGACGTCCAAAACCATCGCCTTCGTGACCAAAACTTGTAATCGGGAACACGGGAGAAGAAGAAGAACGGGGCTGTAAGGTAAGGACAATGGGGTAAAAAGTCGAAGGAGAAAGTTGGGTCACGGGCAAGGGGGAGTGTTCTAGGTTTGAGGTAAATTGCGACAGGCCACGGCGGTGCCGCCGCCCCAAACAGTAAAAAAGGGTGGTGCGGCACCGCGCTGCGGCTCTGCCGCCACGCCAACGCCCCCCCTGCCTGCGGCTCTGCCGCCACGCCAACGAACTTTTAAACTTCCTATGGGCAGTTTGATATTTTTCTCAAATCTATAAGTTTTTACATTTAAACTAATTTTTATAACATACCTTCTTATATTTTATCTTTTCTGACACATTATTATTCCACCGACAACTATTTTTATTTATAGAAATTTTTTCTTTTGATTCTTCAAGCCCTCCAAAAAATAACCATAAATTTTATTTTGCTTTGTTAGCTAATTTTGGAGATTTGCTTCATAATCTCAAGTATATTGATCAAAAGAATATAGGAACAAGTATCTTTTTTTTTTATTGAAAAAGAATTTAACACTCATCTACTCCTCCGGTAATAATGGGATATACTCCTAAGCTAATAATGGCACACCGAATAAATAAAAGGTACTTCAATTATTTGCAGTCAGTTCAATACAATGTATGAAGATTTTTTAGCATTAAAAAACATATTTTTCCAAATATTCATAAGAATAGTTGTTAAACCACCAATGTACATAATGTCGTAATCAAAATTAGGCCTATATTTTTTTTCATTTTCACTTATAAAGAATTTAGTGGTTAGGTTGTAACAATGGTTGATCAAGTCATTAAAAGAAGTGAACATTCTACGTGTCTCGGGTTTATTGTTATAAGTGAAGTGACATAGATGGGGATGATATTAATAGAATTCAAGTTCAATGGTTGAAGTGGAGGAATGCATTGGGCCTACTATGTGATAGAGAAGTATTGATTAGACTTGACAGGAAAATTTTATAAGATGGTGGTAAAACATACAATGCTTTATGGCACAAAATGTTAGCCTATTAAAGACAAGAAAAAAAATAAGTATTGTTGAGATAAGAATGCACGATTGGATGAATAGTTTACACTAAGTGACAAAATGTGAAATGAATATATTTGTGAAAGGGTTGCAGTAGCTCTAGTGGCAGACAAGATTACAGAAAGTCATCTT